CCTGGTGAGGATTCTCTTTCTGACTTGCAGATGGCTGCCTTCTTGCTGTGTGCTCTCATGGCCTTTCCTTGGTGTATGCACATGGAGGAGAGCAAGCTCTCTGGTTTCTCTTCTTATAAGGGCACTAATCCCATCACGAGGGCTCCACCCTCACAACTTCATCGAACTCTACTTCCCAAAGGCCCCACCTCCAAATACTATCACATTGGGGGTTAGGGTTTCAACATATGAATTTTAAAGGAACACAATTCAATTGATATTACCTGCCCTAACAAATCTTAAAAGCAAAACTCAAAATGATCGATTCCAAGTAAATTAACTGAGTGAAGCTCAACAATTCATAATGTCTAGCAGCTAATCAAAGTTACCAGCCATGCAAAGAGGTAGGAGAATGTGACCATATCAAGAAGGAAAATAGGGAATTCCCAGGTGGTCCATTGGTTAGGGCTCCGTGCTTCCACTGCAGGGGGCACAGGTTTGATCCCTGGTTGGGGAGCTAAGGTGCCACATGCTGTGGTGCAGTCAAAAAAAAAAAAAAAAAAAAAGAAGGAAAATAAATTCAAAACCCAGAAATGATGGAGATGATAAAATTAGCAGTTAAGATCATTAAAAGTTATGATAAATCTTATAAATATGCTTATGTATATAAAGTATGAACATAATAAAGAAATAAATAAAGGACATAAAAAAGATCCAAGTGGAATATGTAGAACTTAAAAATATAATGTCTAAAATGAAAAATAATCTGGGTGGGATTAAATGCAACAGAAGATCACTGAATTTGAAGACAGCAAGAGAAAGTACCTAAAATGAAGCACACAGTGGGGAGGTGGAGGGGAAGAGACTCAGAGAAAAAAAAAGAACAGAGCCCCAACAATCCACAAGGAAATAACAAGCAGTCTAATATAGGCATCCTAGAAGAAGAAGAAAGGGGAAAAAATATTTGAAGACAAAAATTCTCCAAATTTTCTAGGAGGGTAGATCTTATGTTAAGTGTTCTTATCACAAAAATTTAAAAATAAATAAAAATAGGGAATTCCCTGGTGGTCCAGTGGTTAGGGTTCTGCGTGCTCACTGCCAAGGGCCTGGGTTCAATCCCTGGTTGAGGAACTAAAATCCTACAAGCCACGTGGCATGGCAAAAATAAATAAATAAACATATAAGATAAATAAAATAAAATAAAAATAAAGAGGGCAGGTGATGAATATATTTATTGTATTGGCTGTGGTGATGGTTTCAGAGGTATATAATTATCTCCAAACTCATCAAGTTGTATACATTAAACATATACAGCTTTTTGTATGTCAATCATACTTCAATAAAGATTTTTAATTAGAAATAAATCTCCAGATCTCATGAAAATTATAAAACTCATCTGCAAAAAGCTCAGTAAATCTCAACCAGAACAAATAAAGAAAACTCTACCAAGGGACACCAGAATGAAACTGCAGAAAAACAATGATAAAGAGAAAATCTTGAAAGCATCAAAGGGGGAAAAAAAAAACATGTTATGTACAGGAGAACAAAGAATGACTATAGATTTATTGTCAGAAACTATGCAGACCAGACAGCAATGAAACTGTCTCTGAAGTTCTAAAAGAAAAAGAACTAAAAAAAAAAAAAAAAGAAAAAGAACTATCACCCCAGAATTCTATACCCAGAAAAAGTATCACTCAAAAATGAAGACAAAGACTTTTTCAGATGAACAAAAGCTGAGAATATTCATTGCCAACATATTTATGTTATAGGAAATGTTAAGATTTTCCAGGCAGAAGGAACATTATACTGAAGGGAAATATGGGTGCAAAGGATTGGAACTTTTAAAAATAAATAGGTAATTTATTTTAATATTTTTATTACTTAAATGTTGCTTATTCAAAATAAATACTTTAAAGCAAAAATAAAAATGCATTAAGGAGCTTATAACATATACACAATTAAAATGTATCACAAAAATGGCACAAAGGATGGGAAGAGAAAAATGTAAATCTATTGTTCTAAAGTTCTTAATCTACATGAAATAGTATAATATTACATGAGGATCAACTGTGATACATTAAAAACATATGTTGAGAACCCTAAGGCATCCATTAAAAATATTTTTAAAGAGTTATAACTAATAAACAAATAACAGCAACAAAACAGAACCATAAAAAATACTTAATCAGGAATAAGGTAAGGATGTCCCCTCTCACCTCTGCTTTTCAATACTGTTCTAGGAGTCCTAGATAATTCAAAAAGATAAGAAAAGGAAATAGAAAGCACAGCTGACCCTTGAACAACATGGATTTGAACTGTACAGATCCACTTACACACAGATTTGTTTCAGTAAATATATTAAAAAGTTTTGGAGGTTTATGACAAGTTGAACAAACTTGTAGGTGAACCGCGTAGCCTAGAAATATTCAAAAAAATTTTTAAAGGTATGTCATGAATGCATAAAATACATGTAAATACTGGTCTATCCTTACACAGGCATAAGATGAATGATATTTAATATAAAAATAATGTCTTCATTTTCTTACTGTTTTATAACTGTGCTTTCAAAGAATTATATTACTGTACAGTATGTCTCTCGTAATTGGAGAAACTGCTCATCAGCCTATCATCACAGGTAAGTGTTTTTTTAAAAAAATGAAACAATGCTTCCAATACTGTTTATGAATATAATACTGAATGTCATAAAAATTTTATAAGTCATTCGTTAGTTAGGCTAGGCTACCATGAAAGAATCATATCGATTACTTTAGGCTATCATAAAGCAATCACATTGCTGCTTCTACAACATCAATGCATGAATCACTGTACCTGTAACTAATATTATTTTCTGTTTCACATTATCTTTTCATTTCTGATGTCTAGTGTTAGTAATATGTATAATATATACAGTGTTTTGTATCATATAAAACAATATTGATATAAGTACTGACAGATGATTCATCTTGTTGATAAATATAGTAGAGTTCTGTAAATGTATTTTTCTTATGATTTTCTTAACATTTTTTCTCTAGCTTCCTGTATTACAAGAATACAGTATATACTAACATATAATATATAAAACATGTTAATCAAATGTTTATGTTATCAGTAAGGCTTCTGGTCAACAGTAGGTTATCAGTAGTTGTTTTGGGGGAGTCAAAACATATATGCAGATTTTTTACTGTGCAAGGGGTGAGCACCCCTAACCCCTGCAGTATTCAAGGGTCAACTGTATAATAATTCAGAAGGAAGAAATACAACTATCTTTGCTTGAAGATGACACATTTGTCTATATAGAAATCCCAAAGAATCAACCAAAAAACTGGAATGAATATGCAATTATAGCAACGTTGGAGAATACAAAGTTAATAATACAAAAGCCAATCACTTTCCTATATACCAGCAAGGAACAAGTGGAATTCTAAAGGAAAAACACATAGCCATTTACATTAGTGTCCCCAAAATGAAACACTTAGATATAAATCTAACAAAATAGGTACAATCTATATGAGGAACAATACAAAACACTGATGAAAGATATCAAAGAACTACTACTAAATAAATGGAGAGATATTCCATGTTCACAGATAGGAAGACTCAATACTGTCAAGATGTCAGTTCTTCCCAACTTGATCTATAGATTCAATCCAAACCCAATCAAAATCCCAGCAAGTTTTTTGGGGGGGATGTAGTGGGATAACTGAGGACATGGAAAGGAGACGTGACCCATGAGCCCCCCCCAGCAAACTGGGGGCTGCCAAATAAGCCAGAACTGCAAACAGTCCTGATTGCTTTGAGCACCCCCCCCCCGCCCGCAAACCAGGGGCATGCGAATAAGCCACAGTTGTGAACAGTTCTGAATGCTTCGAGCGCCCCCCCACGGAAAACCGGGGGCCTGCAAAAGAAGCACTGAGTGCTTTGGGCACTGATCCATGAGATGTCCTCAATATAATCAGAGTGGTGGGAACGCAAGGAAATGTCCTTGTGCTACTTCAGTATAATCAAAATAATGGTGGGAACTTTGTGCTGTTCTTGCGCTCAAGGACGAAGCACGGCAGGTGCTCACGAAAGCCAATTATTGCTTGCATAATTAATAAAAACATAGGTTGCTGCTTTGGCACTTCTGAAATGTTAAGAAAACAAGTCTTAAAGTGTAAATCTAGATAATGCTTTAATAAAAGTTACCACAGCAAGACAGACGGCGCTGTTTTGCCTGAGCGAGCGGCAGCCCTCTACTGCTGTGCTTTGGCACAATTCATCTCGTGTGATGAGCTTACTTTCGGCCCTGTCCTAAGAAACTACAACAGGGGGATATCAACAAATCAATTCTAAAGTTTATATGGAGAGACAAAAGACCCAGAATAGCTACCTCGATATTGAAAGAGAAGAACAAATTTGGAGGACTGACACCATCTGACTTCAAGATTTACTATCAATATAAAGCTACAGTAATCAAGGCAGTGTGGTATTGGCAAAAGAACAGACAAATAGACCAATGGAACAGAACAAAGAATGCTGATATAGATCCACAAAAATATAGCCAACTGATCTTTGACAAAGAGAAAAGGCAATACAATGGAGAGAAGAGAATCTTCAACAGTAGTGCTGGAAAAACTAGACATCCACGTGCAAAAAACTGAATCTAGACACAGACCTTACACCCTTCACAAAAATTAACTTTAACATGGATCACAGACCTAAGTGTAAAACAGACTATTAAAACTCCTAGAAGACAACATAGGAGAATACATAGATGACCTTGGGTATGGTGATGACGTTTTAGATACAACACCAAAGATATGAACTATAAAAGAAATAAGTGACAAGCAGGACTTCATTAAAATTAAAAACTTCTGTTCCGTGAAAGACAATGTCAAAAGAATGAAAAGACAAGCCAAAAACTGCCAAAAAAAAAAAAAACTGCAAAAGACATATCTGATAAAGAGTTGTCATACAAAATATACAAAGAACCCTTAAAACTCAACAGTAAGGAAACAAACAACCTAATTAAAAACTGGGCAAGCTTTTCCGGTCAGCGGCCTGAGGTGACCTCTAAAAATGGTTCGCTATTCACTTGACCCAGAAAATCCCACAAAATCATGCAAGTCGAGAGGTTCAAATCTTCGTGTTCACTTTAAGAACACTCGTGAAACAGCCCAGGCCATTAAGGGTATGCATATCCGAAAAGCCACTAAGTATCTGAAGGATGTCACTTTAAAGAAGCAGTGTGTGCCATTCCGTCGCTACAATGGTGGAGTTGGTAGGTGTGCCCAGGCCAAACAGTGGGGCTGGACGCAGGGTCGGTGGCCCAAAAAGACTGCTGAATTTTTACTGCACATGCTCAAAAATGCAGAGAGTAATGCTGAACTTAAGGGCTTAGATGTAGATTCTCTGGTCATTGAGCACATCCAGGTGAACAAAGCCCCCAAGATGCGGCGCAGGACTTATAGAGCTCATGGTCGGATCAACCCATACATGAGCTCTCCGTGCCACATTGAGATGATCCTTACTGAAAAAGAACAGATTGTTCCTAAACCAGAAGAGGAGGTTGCCCAGAAGAAAAAGATATCCCAGAAGAAATTGAAGAAACAAAAACTTATGGCCCGGGAATAAATGCTGCAAAAAATAAATGCAAATGAAAGTAAAAAAAAAAAAAAACTGGGCAAAAGATCTGAACAGACATCTCACCAAAGAAGATATACAGATAGCAAAGTAAAAGATGTTTTACATCATATGTCATTAGAGAATTGTAAGTTAAAACAACAGCGAGATACCACTATATACTTAGTAGAATGGCCAAAATCCAAAACACTGACAACACCAAATGCTAATGAGGATGTGGAGCAACATGAACTCTCATTCACTGCTGGTGGGAATGCAAAATGATACAGTCACTTTGGAAGAGAGTTTGGCAGTTTCTTGAAAAACTAAACTAAACGCTTATCATACGATAGAGCTATCATGCTCCTTGGTATTTACCCAAAGGAGCTGAAAACTTATGTCTACACAAAAAACTGCACACAGATGTTTATAGCAGCTTTACTCATAATCAAAACCTGGAAGCAACCAAGATGTCCTTCAGTAGGTAAATGGATAAACTGCACACTATGGAATATTACTCAGCACGAAAAAGAAATGAGCTATCAAGCCATGAAAAGACACGAAGGAACCTTAAATGCATATCATTAAGTGAAAGAAGGCAATTTAAAAGGCAACATTTGTATGATTCCAACTATATGACATTCTAGAAAACACAGAACTATAGAAACAGTAAAAAGATCAGTGGTTGCTAGGGGCTAGGGAGGAGGGAGAGAAGAGCAGATGGAGCTCAGAGGATCTGAAGGGCAGTGAAACTATTCTGTGTGATACCACAATGGTGGATATATGTCATTACACATTTGTCAAAACCCACAGAATTTACAATACCAAGAGTGAACCCTAATGTAAACTGTAGACTTTGGGTGATTATGATGTGTCAATGGAGGTTCATCAACTGTAACAAAGGTACCACTCTGCTGCAGGATGCTCATAGTAGAAGAGGCTGCATGAATGTGGGGGCAGGGAGTATATGGGGACCCTCTCTACTTTCTGTTCAACTTTGCTGTGAACCTAAAATTGGTCTAAAAATTTTATTTTTAAAAATTAATCCAGGGCTTCCCTGGTGGCGCAGTGGTTGAGAGTCCGCCTGCTGATGCAGGGGACACGGGTTCGTGTCCCGGTCCAGGAGGATCCCACATTCCACAGAGCGGCTGGGCCCGTGAGCCATGGCCACTGAGCCTGCACATCCGGAGCCTGTGCTCCGCAACAGGAGAGGCCACAACAGTAAGAGACCCACATACCGCAAAAAAAAAAAAAAAATTAATCCAAAAGAAAAAAATAGGAAAAAACCCCACAAAAATTAGACTTAAATCATATCATACCAGTAATTACACTAAATATAAATGGTATACACACCCCCATTAAATGACAGAGATTGACAGATTAAATAAAGAAGCAAGACAACCAAATACTGTCTAAAGGAAACACATTTTAAATATAAAACAGGTATGTTAAAAATAGAAGTATATAAAAAGATACACAGTGCTAACATCTAAAGAAAGCTAGCATCACTATGGTAATATCAAACAATGTAGACTCCAAAACAAGGAACATTATGAGCCATAAAGAGGTACATTTCATAATGATAAATAGGGCAATTCATCAGGAACACATATCAATCCTAAATATGTATGCACCTAACAGATTTATAATATCTGAAGCTGAAAGGTAAAATAGACAAATTCACAATTATATTTGAAGATTTCAACACTGATCCTGTGGTAATTAATGGAAAAAGTAGGAAAACATCAGTAAAAATACAGAATTCCTGAATGACACTATAACCAACTTTACTAATTGACATTTATAGAACACTCTACCCAAATATAGCAGAGAACACTCTACCCAAACATTCCTTCAAAGTGGATATGAAACATTCACCCACATATATATATTTTGGGCCACATAAGTCTCAATATATTTACAAGGAATGAAATCAGACTATGTTTTCTTAACACAATCAAGTTAAATTATAACTCAACAACATCTCTGAAAAGTCCCCAAGTATTGGAAATTAAACAACATGCTATTAAATAACCCATAAGACAAAAGAAATCACAAAGGAAATTAGAAAATATTTTGAACTAAATGAAAATACATCACATCAAAATTTGTGAGATACAGTTAAAGTAGTACTTAGGGAAAATCCATAGCCTTAAATGTTTATATTAGAAAAGAAGACCAAAATCAATGACCAAATTTTCTTTTCTTGCTCTTAAGGTAAATATTAACCCAAAATAAACAGAAAGGAGGAAATAATACAGATAAGCACAGAAATAAATGAAATAGAAAACAGGTGGGAAAAATCAATAAAACCAAAAGCTGGTTCTTTGAAAAATCACTGAATAAATCTTTAGCCAGACTGATCATGAAAAAAAGAGAAATTATCAATATTAGGAATGAAAGAAGGCGCTTCACCACAAATCCTACAGATCTTAAAAAGACAATGAGTGAATATTATAAACAAATTTATTTCAACAAATTTGACAACTGAGATGAAATGGACATCTTGAAAGACAAAGTATCAAAGCTCATTCAAAAAGAAATGGATAATCTGGGACCTCTCTGGTGGCACAGTGGTTGAGAATCTGCCTGCCAATGCAGAGGACATGGGTTCAAGCCCTGGTCCAGGAATATCCCACATGCCATGGAGAAACTAAGCCCATGTGCCACAACTACTGAGCCTGCATGCCACAACTACTGAAGACCACACACCTACAGCCCATGCTCTGCAACAAAGAGAAGCCACTGCAATGAGAACCCTGTGCACCACAACGAAGAGTAGCCCCCGCTTGCCGCAACCAGAGAAAGCCCGCGTGCAGCAAGGAAGACAGAACGCAGCCATAAATAAATAAATTTATTTAACAAACAAAGAAATGGATAATCTGAATAGCTCTTTATCTGTTAAAGAAACTGGGTCTGTAATTTAAAATCATTACCCAAAAAATCCCCAGGTCCAGACTGCTTCACTGATGAATTCAGTGGAATGTTTAGGGAAACCTAATACAAACTCTTGCCAAAAAAAAGAAGGAAAACGTCCCAACTCAGTTCAAAAGGCCTGTATTACCATGATTCCAAAACCAGATAAAACATTACAAGAAAACTACAGAAAAATATACCTTATGAACATTAACACTAAGGTCCTTAACAAGAAAACAGCAAATCACATCCAGCAATATATAAAAAGACATGATGACCAACATGCTGGATTCATTCAGCAACATAAGGTTCCTTTAATGCTAAAAAAAAAACCCAAATCAATGTAATTTATCATACAAAGAGATTAAAAAAGAAAAAGCTCTACAGAATTCTGACTCCAATTACAATGTGTGTGAGGGTGTTTCCCCATATCCAAGCAATTCTCCAACACAAGCTGGGTGTCCTACAATTCAACTCAATTCTGACATTGGCGATTGCATTCAGATTCCAAGGTTAAGGGCCAAGTTCTACAAGACTGAACCCCCACCCCATCCTCTGACTTCAGATGACAATTGCAAGTCCAGGTTGTTACCTGAGCTTCTGATCCAGTGGCTACAAATCAGGTTTCCACAACCCTCTCCTTGGGTTCAATTTAATTTGCTATAATGGCTCAAAGAACTCAGAGAAACATTTTAATTACTAGATTATGGGTGTATCATAAAAGGATATAACTCTACACCATACACAAAAAGTAACTCAAAATGGATTAAAAACCTGAATGTAAGACCAGAAAACATAAAAATCCTAGAAGAAAACTTAGATGGTGAGCTCATTGACCTCGGTCTTGGAAATGATATTTTGAATTTGACACTGAAAGTAAAGGCAGCAAAAGCAAAAATAAACAAGTGGGACTACATCAAACTAAAAATCTACGGCACAGAAAAGAAGACCTCGATAAAATGAATGGGAGAAAATATTTGCAAATCTTATATTTGATAAGGGATTAATATCCAAAATATATAAAGGACTCTCACAACTCAACATCAAAAAAAACTAAATAATTCAATTAAAAAATGAGCAGAGGATCTGAACATTTTCCCAAAAACATACAGATGTCCAATAGGTAAATGAAAAGTGGCTTGATATCAGTAATCATCAGGGAAATGCAAACCAAACCACAATGAAATATCACCTAACACCTGTTAGAATGACTATTATCAAAAAGACTAGAAATAACAAATGTTGGCAAAGGTGTGGAGAAAAGGGAATCCTTGCGCACTGTTGGGGGGAATATAAATTGGTGCAGCTACTATGGACAACAGTACAGAGAAACACCATATCATCCAGCAACTCCACCACTGGGTATTTAACCGAGGGAAACAAAAACACTAACTCAAAAAGATATCTGCACTCCCATGTTGCAGCATTATTTACAATAGCCAAGACATGGAAACAACCTAAGTGTCCATCGAACGATAAATGGATAAAGAAGTTGTGGAATATGTATATCAGCCATAAAACCAGAAGGAAATCCCACAATTTGTAATAACAATGGATGAACCTTGAGGGCATTATGCTAAGGAAAATAAGTCAGACAGACAAATACTGTATGATCTCCCTTACATACAAAATCTGTTAAACAAAAATAACAACAACAAAAACCCAAACTCTTAGAAACAGAGAACAGATGGGTGGTTGCCAGAGGCAGCATGCTGGGGGCAGGCAAAATGGGTAAAGGTGGTCAAAAAGTACAAACGTCCAGTTATTATCAGTCCTGGGGATGTAATGTACAGCATGGCAATTATTATTTATATACATATTAATTGTATATTAATAATAATATATATTCTATGTTAATAACAATATGTATTCTATAATTAAAAGTTGCTAAGAGAGTAAATCTTAAAAGTTCTCATGACAAGAAAAACAATTTGTAACTATGTGTGGTGATGGATGTTAACTACACTTACTGTGGTGATCATTTCACAATACATACACATATCTAATCCTGTTGTAATCCTGTTGTACTGAAACTAATATAATGCTATATGTCAATTATATCTCGATTTTTAATGAATGAAAAATAAATAAATAAAAAGATATAACTCAGGAAAAGTCAAATGGAAGAGA